ATTGCTTTGTGCTGCTTCCTTTGCTCCCAACATATAACACTGAAAAAGAAAGCATTGTCTAGACATGTACATATTTCAATTGAGATAAGGGAAAAAATGTTGCACATCTGCATTGTCCATAAAGTCTCCTTAAAGAAAAAGTCAGTATTGCAAAGATTTTATCTGTCTGCTGAGGACCTAATAATCAGACTAAGGATCCATGAAACACTGATTTCTCTCTCTCCTTAGGTAGAGAAAATAAGACAGGCCATAAATATGGAATTAAAATCCCTGATGAATATCAAGGATCTAAAGGTGAGATCTGGACCATGGGAGCCTTAATTGTGATCAGTTCATGTAATTATTCACTCTTACGTCCTGTAGCTCAAAGCTATATCTGGCATGACCAAGTAGGACTTAAAATGCTGCAACGACAATACATGCACAGCATCAGCTGGATTTTGGAAAAAAAACCCCTTCAGTTACTAGGAACCACTGCAGCACTCTGATGAGAGCAGCCTATTGCCCTCTTCCGTCTAATGCAAGGTTTCCTAAACTTTTTGCCATCACACTTCCCTTTAGTGTAATCTTAATATACATACCTCCCCTAAAAATCCAAAAACCGAAATGAATACAAATGAACAATACAGTGAAACTTTGGGAAAGGTGGATTGATTGTGATAATGTACTAAAAGGTTCTTCACACCTCCCCTGTCTGCACCTCCCCAAGGGAGGTACAGGTGGTCATTGCTTAACTATGGTAATTGGGACGAGGAACTCCATCACTAAGCGACCTAGTCATAAAGCGCAACCTCACATGATTGCTCCAACTTACGATGCCAGTTCCTGTTGCTGTTATTAAGCGAATCCTGCACAGTCACGGCATCCATTGGTCACGTGATCACCATTTGCGACCTCCTGCCAGCTTCTCCATGGACTTTGCTTGTTGGAAGTCAGCAGTGAAGGTCACAAATGGCGATCACGTGACCACAGGATGCTGTGACCATCATAATTGCAAGCCAGTTGCCAAGTGCCTGAATTGCAATCACATTACTGCAGGGACGCTGCAACGGCTGGAACTTCAAAGACGCATCATATGTCCCCCTTGTTGAGTGCCGCTGTAACTTCTAACAGTCGTTGAATGAGTGGTGGTTCAACAAGGACTACCTGTACACCCCACAGTTGGGGAAACCCTGATCTAATGAAAGGAAAAAAATCCCTGCTAGCCCATTTACCACTCTGGAATTCAATAATTTCTGTATTCTAGCTAGGATTGTTTTATATCTCTACCCCTCAGGTGGGCTCTGTCGAGGAATTCCAGGGTCAGGAGCGGCGTGTGGTGCTCATTTCAACAGTACGCAGCAGCAGCAATTACTTCGGAATAGATGAAGAGTTCAACCTTGGTTTCCTCAGTAATCCCAAGGTACCAATTGATATATGACATTCTGTAATCTTTAGCACATCCAGGGCTGATCCCCTTTTTTATGGGACCAGAACAGTTCAGACAAATGACCTCCCATATGGCTCTTCCTTTCCAGGGGCTGTTAGAGAAGCTGTAACAAAATGTAGTTTATTCATTTGTGTTTTGTGCGAATGTAGCCTTGTCTAGTAAACTTGTTTATAGGGGACTTAGCATGTGTGAACCAAGCCTCTTGTGGTTTATTTAAGAAACCTTGGATAAACAAACCATAGGTTAGTGTATAGTGTGTACATTTCATACATCTCCATGTTATTTTTCTATAGCCCCAGTTTGGCCTGGAAATATAGGAGGAATTGCAGGAAAGGATTAATAGCATTCTCTTCTCTGTGCTGATAACCCTAAGGCCAGTTATATAAGCCCTACTAAGACTTGTAAATGTAGCTCTTCTAGACCATGACTGTGTATGCTCTACACAGGAATTTCACCAGTTGACATTTTTACAACTTTCTTTAAACAGCTTTATTGTGCAAGCAAAGTTTGATTTATCTTATCAAAGCATTTTAAAATGAAGGCTAATATAGCCTGAATCCTGCATTACTCTGTATAGTAGGAGTTTACTGACTTCTCTGTACCACCAGGTGGAGATCCTTAGTTAAGTTCTAGTCTTCCTTCTCTCTCCCTTCTATATTATATAGTGAGGGGGTTTGTATGTGTGTGTGTGTACATGTGCCTTTGAGTCAGGCTTGATTCATGGCAACTACATGGGTAAGTCCCTGCAGTTTCCTTGGCAACATTTTTAGGAGTGGTTTGCCATTGGCTTCTTCCCAGGGCTGAGAGAATGTGACTGGCCCAAAGTCACCCAGTTGGGTTTGTGCCGAAGGCAGGACTAGAATTTGGTTTCCCCATTCCTAGTCTAGCTTTTTAACCACTAGACCAAGGATATGCAAAACTCACCAATTTGGGACTGGAATCCCTATTTGTAGTGCTTTTGTGCCAGATAAAGACTGCTTAGAAACATCAAGAAGATTCAGTTATGAGATGTTAAGGAAACTTATTTATCATCTCGAAGTGTCAGTTATGAAGTCTATATCTCATACTTGAATGTGGGGATATGTAGAATTCTTTCCCAGTGAGCTAAGTTGTTTTTCTCTCTTTGTATCACTTCTTTTCAGCGCCTGAATGTGTCCATTACAAGAGCTAAGGCACTCTTGATTATTGTAGGCAACCCAGTTACACTAAGCAAGGATCCATACTGGAATGAGTAAGTGTTGGCCTCTAGTTTCCTTAATCCTCATGTCTTTTCCCATTCTCTCTCAGCTAGAAGTTGAGAAAGCAGCCAGCAGAATTCTTTATCCTTCTACAATGAATCAGAGGCACAGCTGAATAAGCAGTGCTAGAGATTCCTTGAAATTCCCAGGTGGAAAATTGCTAAGTTACAATGAACAGGTGCTACATGGAAAGTAGGAATCAATCTTTTAACTAGATTTTGTACTTTTTATGAACATGAAAGAGCTACATAACCCAGCATTAACTATTCTTACAGTCTTCAGCTTGGTAAGTCTCATGAAGCCTGTAGTTAGGGATCCATTTGCCATTTGTAATCTCATAGCTGCTTTGTGAACCCGCCTCACTCCTGTAAGTGGTTCACAAGAGTGCGGACAGGTATTCTGTTTTACTTCAAATGTATCCTATTTTTAACATTGAATCTCATTCCAAATTTTGATCTGCCTTAATTGCATTAATACTTATGTCCCCAGGTTTCTTGCACACTGCAGGGAGGGTTACCGAGGATATCAACACAGTGGAGTTGAGGATGAGATCCTGGTATCAGAGTTCAGTTCTCTCAACTTAGATGTTCAGCCTGTAGGTAAGGAAGGGGCTACAGTGATTGAAAGCATCCTTGGATGTTTGGAAAAGAGCCAACTTAATTCTTTTGTTTTCATGGCAGTGGACTTGGGGAATGGGAGGGAGGGTCAGTCCTCAAATTAAGGAAAAGGGGGGTTAAGTCTTAAAACCTTAAGTTGAGGGAAGCCAAGAACAAATAGGAATTAGGAACACTCCCCACCCCCTGAAATAAACATTTGCTTTGATCGGGTGGAAATATTCCTCAAAAATGGATACCTCAGCCTTCTTGGGCTGAATATGATCTAGAGTTATATTGACAATCCTATTAAATGCAGGCCAGTTTGCAACAATAATAGGACATGAGTCAGTGTTCTAATTCCCGAGTTGCTACTCAGCTGTACAATAATTACAATCAACCCTCTTTGAGGTGTCCAGTATACCTGAAGCAAGAATCTTGGTGGTAGTAATCTCAGGAAGAATGAACTCTGGAAAAATCATATCAACTTTTTGTTTGCAAAATAGAGAGGGGGAACAGATTAGGGATTAGGGCTGGCAATGCCTCTCCTGTGTGGTGTAGGGGAGAAAAGATTTTTGTTATCCCTAGAGTTATCTTTGCTCAGAAGGCAGAAAACTGGTTGAATGATGATTTTTGAACTTCCCCATTTGTTGGCTGGTGATAGCATTGATGGCTCATAGGGTTGGCGTGATTTTATTAGATTTTGCTGGTTCTCAGCATTCCATGATCAGCAGGAAGAGGATCACATGGCTTGCCTCAAACATTTTAGAGGGATGGGAAATGGAATGTCCTTGTTTAGGGGTTTTTGTTGTTGTTGTTGTTCTTTTATATACATTACATAGACTGAAAACTAATTTTCAGCCAAAATCCAGCTCACTTGCAGTCTCCTAACTTTTCTGCATAGCAGCTTTAGGTATCTTGAAAAATAAGGATTAAGTGCACCCTTTTAAATGTTTAGGAAGGCTGCTTGGTCAGTGCAAGGGCAACAAGTGGAATTCCTTCTCCCTTTCCATCCACTTGCCTCTTCATCTAGTTATCTTTTCTGCAGATAACAGCCAACAAGAGAGTTACCTCCAGCAGCAAGTAGAGCCAGAATGGAGATATGAGCATTGAGAGTAGTGCTGTCCTAAACATGATCTTGGTGAACTCTGCATTCTTGAACATTTCTGCAGGATTGACAGAGCAGACGACTAGCCAAAATTTGTTTCATCTCCATACCTGCTATTTCTCAGGAGTAAATGTCAGGCTTCACAAACTTCCCTGCTTAAAAAACTAATAATGCAATAGAAATTCGCTGTGTAGTTACCAATAATTATCTAATTAAGCATATATTCGTTTTACTTTGCATTCTTGTATGTGTGTGTGCAAATGTTTGTAATGCTGAGAACAAGTGCATGTGTGCGCATGTAGAGTGGGGTTGAGGAATGGTAATTGAAAGAAAGATGTTTGATATTTCAAAGAGTAATTAGATTTCAGTATCAAAATAATGGTAGAAATTATGAAGAACTTTGGGGAGGGGGGGGAAGGATATGGGAAAGAGGAGAAACATGTCAAAACCTTGGTATTTTCAAGATTATCAGATTTTATTACCTGCTGAGTTTTTGTACTAAATTTATTAAAGTTTACAAGAATTAACTCTGTGCATCATGTTTCTGTGTTAATTACAAAATTCTCTTGCTTTATCCTCCCCTTTTGGGTGGGTGGGTAGAATAGCAGGGAGCAGGGTTTTTTATCCCTTTCTGCATATATCCTGTTCCAATATTGTACTGAAGGAAAAAAGAAAGTGTGGGTAGGTGGGGAATCAGAGGCACATTATCTTAAAACATCATATGCAACGTGCCTGATGCTCAGCTCCTTTGAGGCCCCACCCTGAATCAGTCAGAAGCACAACATGGGAGAAAGCGGGTTTATTTTTCTCCCTTATTATCAGGGTGCTGGAATGGAGTTTGTAACTACCTCTGGTTAGCCAAGTTGAATGTAGAAGATTCAGAAAACTATAACAGATTAAATGGGAGTGGAGGTACAGTTGCCCATTTTCTATTTCCTCCCCCAACCTGGCATAATGCAGATGTGTTGAAGTAGAACAGAAATTATCCTCCCAACATGGTACTGAGAGGACTGAGAAATAATCTTTTCTGACCACTTAGATGTTGTTGACCCAATTTCATACATTCTTGTGTTATTCAGTGATGGGACCTTTTCAATCTTGAGAACAGCATTAAGTAGAGAATCATTTATGTACAAGGCTTGCTTTGATTCAGAAGCATGGAGTTTTTACCCCTAGTCTAGCCAATACAAAAGCGAAAGTCAAGCGCTAATCATCTGCAGTGGCATTGTCTCAAAGGAGCAAGAATATCCTTCATTGCATTAGGTCATTTGTTATTCCTGTATGTTAAAAAGGTGGTGCTGTGCATTGTACTGCTGGTGATGGTTATTCAGTAGGTCCTCAGAGATCTGCATGGTAAGGGAGCAGCTGGCACCATGCGCCAACTGCAACAGCAGTGTTTGGTTCTTTGCCTGCCTGTGAGATAAAGAGAAGATGAAGAATGCTGGTGTCTTATGCTGCTCCTGGTGCAGCTGTGCTTGCAAAGACTTCATAATAATATATCCATTGCTTGGGCATATCCTGTGGCGCTTAAGAGCAAATCAGTCTCTAAGAAAAACTATCTTTTTGATGCACCAATCTGGTGCTATAGCCATTGGCTGGTCAGATGCATTTCCTTCCCTTGGAATTTTTGAGGTTTTGGAGTGATTATTAAAATTGACATTACATTTACCCAGTGAAATATGAACAAAACAACATTATTTTGCTCCTTCCACTTTGAAAAAAAAAAAATCTACAACGTATGTTCAGAAAGTTCCAGATGGAATGTGTCCTTAAACTTGATACTGAATGTTTCATCCAGTTCAGGCTCACATTCAAGTTAATTTACCATTCTATTGTTTCATGGTATTTAAAAATCCCCCAAAAGCAATAAAAAGCAAATGTACGTTTACCTAACTTTAATGGAAAACACAGTTCAGCTTATCAACAAATGAAAACTCTTATCTGGTCCCTTCCATGCATCTCTTGAGGGTCAAAACACATTATTCAAAGGTTACTCCTCTCAGTATTAGAAGCAACAATGACCTTTCCTTTCACCACTTACTACTCTATAATAGGTGAGAGAGCCAACTCTGCCCAACCCTAATCCAGCTGGCATGCAGGACTTCAAGGACAAAAAAAAGGTGAGTCATGTAAGATCCAATTAATTTAATAAGGAACTGAGAATATAGCATTGTCAAAAAACAAGCCAGTGCCCCTCAGACAGAAGCACAATAGAGAACACTAATAATCACAACAGGGGCCAATTCCTCAGACATTCAGATGAACGTTTTGGCAAGCCCCTTGCCTTTGCAAGTTATGGAGATTGACAAATACATTGGCTTGTACTCCAGGTTCATATATTGCAGAATTCAAAAATCTTGCTTCCTTTATTTGTGAAGACCTGAAGCTGTGAGAATCCATACAAGCACCAAATGGTAAAATTAGTATAAAAGAGCAAGAAGTAGTATAGAATTAGTTCAGATAAACTGTTGGCCCTATACCCAAGAGACAAACCTTTACAAAAAGGATTCAAAAGATTTCTCTTGATTTCCCAAGCATACAAAACGATGGTAGAGACACACTGCCCAAGGAAAGACTTATGATCACCTCTGTTGGGTACCCTGGGTGGACTTTTCTGTGCAGAGGATTGGAGGCTGCACTCAGCCAACCAGCATGTTAAATGTGTTGTACTCTTCCCTCTAGACACCATGCTTGCTTCCATGGAATCTGTGGAAGAGGCACATGCTTCATACAGCACAGTCAACTCTTTTGCCAACGCTCTTCTCCTACAGGAGGGGGCAACCTTTGCGCCTTTTGTTCTTCCTGACTTGCAGGGCAGCCCGGGTGGCCATTTCAAACACTTCCCGCACTCCATCCTTTGTCTTGGCTGAGCATTCAAGGTAGCCAAAAGCATTGATCCTGTTCGCCATGTCTCTGCCTTCTTCCGGCTTCACGGGCTCCTTCATAAAAAAAGGATGACATATAAAACAGTTTAATTATTATTTACTGCTGTCTCTGTAACAATAAAAAAACCCAAGGTAACACAGCACTTATCTGCTCTTGTTTTCCTCAGCCTGGGACAACATAGCAAAGAGCATTTCTGATGACCACAGCAAGTTCTCAGAAAACTTTGAGCAAGATGTAATCTGTTTATTTCAATTTATACGGCTGCCCATCTCAAGTTCACGACTCTACACAACAGTGTGAAAAAATATATAAAAGCAGAAAAACAACACGCACACAACCACAGCCAGGTTAAAAACAGACCCAACAGTCAAAATTAACATAGCCAATGCATGGGCTCAGCTCCACCTCCTGACCCCCAGGCCCAGTGATACAACCGAGTCTTTAAGGCCCAAAAAACAGGGCCTTAACCAGGGTCGGGGCCAGTTGAATCTCTGAGGGGATGATGTT